AGTTTTAGGTAACCCACCCAACGGTGAGCACAGACCACCCCACTCATTTTCCCTCCTGGATGAAGCCCCACTCGACCGCTGGGCCAGGACACGTGGGCTCTGCACCCTCCAGCCGACACCAAGTCCCACGGCAGCTAGTGGAGGTTGGGGTGTCCAGGCGCACCCCGAGGGGCTCTGGGGCACCGCTGACTGCTGTTCCTGAATATTTAACAGATGCGGCTTGAACACGTCCAGGGCTACCTGAGAGGGGGCTCAGGGTCATTAAGGATGTGAGGGGAAGATGCCAACCACCCCGACGCCTTTGTGAAGGTGCACAGGGCCCCCCACTGCAGCATCGATGGCCAGCAATGGCTTTGGCTGGTTTGGCTCAGTGGATAGAGCGTCCGCCTGTGGACTGAAGGGTCCCAGGTTCAATTCCAGGCAAGGGCACATGCTCGATCCCCAGTGGGGGGTGTGCAGGAGGCAGCCGATCAATGATTCTCTCTCATCACTGGTGTTTCTATCTCTCTCTCCCTCTCCTTCCTCTCTGAAATCAATAAAATATATTTTTTTAAAAAGAAGTGCCAACAATGGGGACCATACACACCAACATGGTCTCTCCTTCTAGAACATTCTCCCCCTCTGGGCAGACCGTGAAAGACATTCACGCAAGGCAAGGCCGACGTGGAGACCTTGGAATCTCATCACAGCCCGAAGGCAACGTAGCAGGGGTGGGCGGGGAGGGGTGTGGTTTGCTCACCCAGAACCACAGCTCACAGAGAGGGGGCGTGCGGCCCCAGAGGCAGCCACAAAGCACAAAGGGGCTGGCGAGCCCTGTGACCTGCCTTTGACCCGCCCAGTCATGGCCCTGGCATCATCCGAGGCAGGAGGGCATCGAGGGAGGGCAGGGAGGGCATCGTCCGAGGTGGGAGGGCATCGCGGGAGGGCATCATCCGAGGCGGGAGGGCGGGGAGCAGCAGCCCCAGCAGCACCGACAGCTGCCCCGCGGGGGGCGGGGGCATTCTTTGTATTGTTTATTAATTGTATATTTTTTATGATTTTGTTTGATCACCATTATGGTTTAAACGTTTATATATATTTATTTATTTATTAAAAATATCTATTGATTGATTTGAAAGAGAGAGAAAGAGAGATTTGTTGTTCCACTTTTTTATCACAAACACACACACGCACTCACACATACACACATAAACGCACACACACATAAACACACACACATACATACATAAACACACACACTCACATACACACAAACACACACACACATAAACACACACATAAACACACACGCGCACACATAAACACAAACACGCACGCGCGCACTCACACATACACACATAAACACACACGCGCTCACACATACACAAACACACACACATAAACACACACGCACACACATAAACACACACATAAACACACACGCGCACACATAAACACAAACACGCGCGCGCACACACATACACACATAAACACACGCGCTCACACATACACATAAACACACACGCACACACATAGACACACACATAAACACACACGCACATGCACACATAAACACACGCACACATAAACACACACGCACGCACGCACATAAACACGCACACACACACACACACAGGCGGAGAGTGAGGTGATAGCAGGTCTGGCGACACACACCAGGAAGAGGGGCGCCCAGCGTCAGAAAGGGCCTCCCCGCTCCCTGCCCTGGCCGGTTTGGCTCAGTGAATAGAGCATCGGCCCTGGGACTGAAGGATCTCAGGTTCGATTCCGGTCAAGGGCATGTACCTCAGTTGCAGGCTCAACCCTGGCCCTGGTAGAAGCCAATCGATGAGTCTCTCTCACATCGATGTCTCCCCCCCCCACTTCCAGTCTCTAAAAATCAATGGGAAAATATCCTGGGGTGATGATTAATAACAAGAAAAAAAGGAGCACCTCCAGGGGAGTGCCTTCAGAGAGGCCAGAAACAGAATGGCTGTAAAAGGCCGAGAGAATGTTCCGGAAGGGCGAGCACCCAGAACTCTGAGTCTGCCCTGACCTGGGGCTAGGACACCGCCCCCCCCCCCCACCCCCCCCCGCCACACCACTGTTTGGTCACTTAGGTTTTTATATATATAGATTTTAACCCCTTTGGAGCAAAGGCAAGCGGTGCCCCTGTGTGAGCCCCGCCCGTGGGCCTCCTGGTCCAACTGGCCGCTCGCTGACCCTGTGGCCCTGGGCGGGTCATGGCCCCACTGGGTGAGGAGCGAGACCGCCTGTGAGGGGCTCACACGCACGCGAGGACCAAGGGGGCTCTATGGGGCCCACTCGCCTCGCCTCCCCGAGCGCTGCGCCAGGCGACCTGAGAGTCACCAGCAAGGGTCCCGCTGGGACTGGGGATTCGGCGCCCAGGGGAAGGCGTCGGGCAGGGGATGCGCCCCCACCAGGATCCAGCACCTTCGTTTCTGGCTGATGTGGCCACGGGGGCCGAAATGCCGATTCCACTCCCAGGGCCTTCACTTCAAAGGCCCCCACGGACCTCACCAGGACCCCGCCACAGGCCTCCCACCAGGAGAGCCAGGGCGAGGACAGCCCCTCAGAGGAGGGGGCCCGGACCGTGACGGGGCAGGAAGGTACGGGAGGGCCCAGGGTCCCGGGGAGGCCACACGCCTAGAGGCGCACAGGACGGTGACCTGGTTCTGTGGGGCTCACCGTCGGTATCAAGTCAGCAAAGGGGAGGGTCCCTAGAGCAGGACGGTCACCCCAAGGGCCTGGTGAGAGCTCCCCGGCAAACGGGGCTCCAGGAGGCACGTGACCTCGGGTGTTCCAGCCAGGGGCAGGTGCCTGGGGGGGTCAAGGTCTGCCTCAGTTTCCCCTCCACATCAGGGGCACACGTCACCAGGTGTTTGGGTCTGAATGAGATAATCCGTGTAACAGGCTGGACCCGGTGTGGCTCACGAGTGCCCCACAGGGTAGATCTGTGACCACCTCACCCGGGCAGTGGGAACTCCAGGGCGAGTCCATCCCCAGGGCTTCCTGGGGGCGGTGATGCCTGAGCTGGAAGGGGAGGCCGGGAGGTGCGTGTGGCAGGAGGTTGGTGGCTGGGCCCTGGGCCCACAGGCAGGGAGTCGTGGGGAGCACCCCAGCCCCCGCTGGGCACCACCTGGGACTCAACAGCTTCATTTGTAAAAGGGGCTCGTGACACCCCCTTGGGGTGGCTGTGCCTCGGTGCTGGGCGCCTGAACACGCGTGGCCTGCTCGCTAGGAGGCGGGGGGATGGGCTCCCTGCGGCGCAGGTGCTGAGCTCCGACTGCACGCATCGCCTCCCGGGTGGGAGCAGCGAGGAGGCAGGTTCTGGCACCGCGGCCGGTCCCCTGGGACGGGCACAGGCCTCTGAGGTCCTCTGAGCCCAGGCTCTGGGCAACCGGAGCCAGGTAACCACCCGGAGGCCCGCGTGGCTGCCAAGCGCCTGGTGCGTCACCCATGCCCTCAACAAGGGGCCTGGGGACCCGCACCAGCTGAATGTGTGGGAAAGGCACCCGCAAAGGACCCGGCGCTGGGGGACTGCCTGGCACCCGGGACACTCGGCAGATGAAGGGACAGCCACTCAGTGCCCGCCCCCGCCCCGTGGACCTAACACGCTGGCGCTGGGAGAGGCGACAGGCCAACCGGGGGTGGGAAACCCAGACACTCAGGTGTGCAGATGGCGTCCGTCCCGCCGGGGGATGGTGGCCATCGTGACCTTCAAATCCAGGTCACGTCTGCCTCAACCGGGAGCCGGTCCCAGGGCACAGCAGGGGCAGCAGGTGAGGGAGCCGCTGGCCAGGGAGACAGAGCAGTGCTGACCCCGGCTCAGGGCCACCTGGTCCCGTAATGAACCTCACAGCCAGCCAGCAGCTGTCGGAGCACCAGCCACAGGCCCTCCTTAGACTAGCAGGAGCCACGGCCACAGACCGCTCAGGGCCCCAACTTCCCCACCTGCAGGATGGGCCTCCTCGCAGCACTTACCTCGGGGAGGGCTGTGGGAGGAGATGAGTTTACACGGAAACATCCCGTCCCCCAGCAACTCCGATGGGACCCCTGGACCAGGCAGGCCTCTGAAGGGCTTTTCTCCACCCAGTGAGCAGCGTGGAGGGACGGGCGGGGGAGGGATTTCAGGTCACCTGCCAAGCCCCCTCATCTCCTTTGGTTTCCATCTCAACTATTAACCAACCCCCAGGGCTGCCTGGAGCTAGGACAGGACTCCACGTGGAGACACTCAGCACAGAGCTCACGAGTCCAGGAGAGCGCGAGGAGGCCACCCTGCAGGGCCAGGCGACGCCTTTCAATCCACGAGGGCCACCCTTTCACCATCTGTGTTTCCCAAAGAGCAGGTTTCCAGATCAGCATCCGAACTTGTCCCTCAAGCAGCACAGCAGTGTGCACGCTCAGAGCGCCCCAGGCCTGGGTTCCTATGGAAACCAGAGCAGCACTTCCCTCCCCAAGTGAGCACGTCCGGAGGGCCGCCCAGCCTCACCCTCCACACCGTGTAAGCGGGGCGGGCGGCAAGGAGAGGCTGACACAGAGCTCTGGGCCCCGGCCCTGCCACACGGGGCTGTGGCTGCTCTGTGCCTCGATCTCCCCATCTGCAAAATGGGTCATCCCGACAGTACCGCCCTCGGGGGGCTGTGTGGATGAGCTGGCACAAGTGAGGCGCGGTCTGTGTCGGGCAGGGAATACGGGCAACATCACCCTCCTGCTCCTCCTTCCGGACGGTGGGGTCAGTGTTCCTGCTTGCTGAGTGGTTTTCACGTTTATGACCTTTGTCTAAAGGAGAGTTTAGGGGTGGGTTCCCCCATTATTAAAACTAAGTCACACGTGACCATTTGGGAAGATGAAGTTTTTTAAACCACCAGTGGTTTGGCGCAGCTGGGTCAGCCCAGATCCGTCCTGTCCGGTCCCTGCCCAGGTCATCACTGCGGCTCGGGACCCTCCCGAGGCCCAGCA